AAGACTGGATAGCTGATGGTGTTACTAAGGAATCATAAATGTTGCCCTGTAAATTACAGACCACTTAGGCTGATTAGCTTAGTAAAGACAAATAAGATACAAGTCAATACAGAGTGAGCATGTGGTTGAAGACTGGATAGCTGATGGTGTTACTAAGGAATCATAAATGTTGCCCTATAAATTACAGACCACTTAGGCTGATTAGCTTAGTAAAGACAAATAAGATACAAGTCAATACAGAGTGAGCATGTGGTTGAAGACTGGATAGCTGATGGTGTTACTAAGGAATCATAAATGTTGCCCTATAAATTACAGACCAGTTAGGCTTACTTCTGTTGTGCACTGAAATTTTCTCAATCGTATTGCATTTAAAAACCTCGCTGTAGAAAAAAAAATATATATTTAAATTTCTTCCTTTAGCAATAAAAATCAACAAAATGATATAATTAACCAGAACTTCCACAAATTTAACAATTTAATTAATGAAAATAGCTTTTGTATCACATTACATAAAGAAGTATCACGAAAAGTGTACATATCTAGACAATAAAAATATTTGCCAATCTGTAAGGAAAACTGAATAAATAATTCTGGGTACTAGCTAACTCATCTGTACAATTTTATTTTAAGTTTCTCAGTTAAATCCTTAGAGGCTTTTTTTTTGAGCGATACCTTTTCATTTTTCAGTGTGGTCACAGGTGAAAAAAGATAGCAATAACATTAAATGTTTAACAAAAAATTAAATTTCTCTTTGAATTTATAAAGAGAATAAAATACTTTTCCTAAAAAAATATATATACATTCTTAGGAGTGAAAAAAAAAAACTGTCTCCATTGCAACAGTAAACATCTTCAAGTAACACACTGAGATTAGTGTGTAAATTACACAAATTCTTCTATGGTGTGAAACCACTTTTCAATGAACAACGTGCATTGTTTTTGTGTTTTTTATATATATTTCCTTATTAAACTGCAGTTAAGTTTGTATAAAAGAATAACGAATAGATAGTCTTAATGTAAAAGTCAAAACAATTGTCTTTGTGTTCTTCGTGCAAAGCTACACAATGGGCTATCTGCACACCGTCCACCGTAGGGAATCAAACACAGAGCCTTACCCATGTTTCCTACATGTGCAGGTTACAGAAAATGCTCAACACTTATACACTAAAAAGAAATTTTTTTGTTATTATTATTCTTTGTGGCTACAGAGGTGTTGTTTCCCTTCTTGTATTCAAATAACATCACATGCCGAACGTGTGTCTTCACATGTGCCATCACTATAAAGGATTAACGTATACTAAACTTTACACATTATATAGGCTACCCTTAACGTGACTCTCAGGCGGTTCATTTAACTATTATATGCGATGTAAATTTTTTTTGGGGGGGGGTTGGGTTTAATGAAAGTGTTCCAAAAGGCAACATTAATTTCTTGAATAAGAAAAACAAATCTTAAAAGTACGCTCTCAAAAATAAAAGTGTATTCCCAGATACTAAACAACTAAATGCAAATTGTATGGAGCTATTCCTGAGTTTTGTATCTTCAATACAAAAAGTAAAAATATCTTAAGCACAAAAAAAATTCTAAATAAGAAGACAAACTTTATAGATGTACTTAAATTTTGTACTCTTGTTGGTAAGAGACAAAACAGAACTGCTCAAATTCAACTGGTATAAAATAAAGGTAATAAAAAAGAAATACAATCTAGGTTCAATAAAATCAATTCTTCTGTGTAGTCTGTTTAGGTTATTGAATTAGATAGAGAAATCTAATAATTTTCTACTTAATATCAAAACCCAACTATCATAATGCCAGGGGCCAAGCGATGCCAAGTTGTTGGCATACTGGACTGTGGATCCGAGGTTTGAACCTTGTTACAGCCAAAAATAAAAATAAATGCTTCATACTTTCAAGGCATGGGTGCATTACAAGAGTGATAGTCAAATTTCACCATTTGATCTGACAATAATAGCCTAAAGAGTTACCGGTGGGTCATGTTGAACATAGCTGTCTTCCCTCTAGTCTGTCACTCACCTCAAAATTAGGAGCGGCTAGTGCAGATAGTCCCCATGTAATTTTATGTGAAACTCTACAAATCAAACAACAGTTAAAAGTAAACAGCACATCTTACCTGACTAATTCTGTTAAACCCATACTGTCGAAAGCGCTCATCATAAAATGGTACTGTGTTTCGAGAGATGTAAAAGGGCTCCCAGGGGTCTCTCCACAGGACTTCAAATAGAATGTTTAGCTTGGCAGACATTGTATCATGCTCCCAAGCATCATAGTCCGTGTGCTTCTGGCATTTCCAGCAGAGTTCCAAATAAAATGGCCTGGCTTCCATGAGTTTTAGTGATTGTAACAGAGTTTTTTTCTCTGCAGGCACCTCAGTCCCCTTCTTCACCTCGAAAGCAGGCACAATATAGACAGTTTTATCTTCTCTGTGAGAATCCAGAAGTAACCTGTTCTCTTTGGCAAATGTTAAAAAATCCCTATGCAAATAACTGGTTGGAAGAAGATCAACATCTATGACAAAAACAAATTCAGTCAAAGCATTCTTTCTGGCAACATTTCTTAAGAGATTGTTTGGATAAGCTATTCCATGGGCATAGTTATCGGGAACTTCGAGGCCCTGAAAAACACTCAATAGGTCATCACAAGATCCAAAGATGGGAGATTTTTCCCGACGAGAGTCAGTTTCTTGTGAAGGATTTTTTAAAGGATAAACCAGATGAAAACTGGTATTGTACCGAATAGACGGCAAACAACGTCTGAGGTAAAGAATGCTTTCTACGGCGAGTGAACCATCCTGAGTAACAGCAAAAACGGAAACTGACATTGGACCTTGCCATCGCTCACTTAATCTACTGAGATAATGGAGATGATTCACTGTTGTATGAGTCACTATACTTATATCCTGCCTAATATTATTACGGGGACCAAGTGATTCTGCCCGCATAAGGAAATTAATGATCCGAAACTCACCACTGGAATCTAGAACACTACTCTGCTCTACTGTTTTTAACATCTGAGCACGATCCTCTCTCAGTGTTGACTCTTGATAATCTCGGTCTTTCCCATCAGCCAAGCTTTTCTCAAAACGATGATGTTTTTTCCTTTCCAGGCGACTTAATAAAGTCATGTGGATCACCTTAAAATCATAAAAACATGTCTAAGGTATACGTAAATAAAAACTGTAAACACACACAGTGTAAATCATATAAAAACATGTCTAAGGTATACATGAATAAAAACTGTAAACACACCACACACACACAGTGTAAATCATATAAAAACATGTCTAAGGTATACATGAATAAAAACTGTAAACACACCACACACACACAGTGTAAATCATATAAAACATGTCTAAGGTATACATGAATAAAAACTGTAAACACACCACACACACACAGTGTAAATCATATAAAAACATGTCTAAGGTATACATGAATAAAAACTAGTAAACACACACACACACACACATTGTAAGTCATATAAAAACATGTCTATGGTATACATAAATAAAAACTGTAAACACACACACACACAGTGTAATATTACCTAGATGACATTTTTATTCAACTGTAATTTTGGGGAAATTTTTCAAATAATTAAAAAGTTTCTTGTTTTAGAAATACTGTAATTTACTTCTTTATAATGAATTAATAGTCTTACTTGGAAACACATTATATCTAACCAACAGGCTTATTTGTCCCAATAATTGTATTCTTTATGTTTACCCAATATCTTCATCCTTTTGTCTTGTTTTTAAATTTATCACATATCATTACACATAGTTAATAATCAAATTTTATATAATCATTTATGGGTATACAGCATAATAATAACTAATTAACACAAAAGAATTAACTATTTCATTCTATTTTACCAATAATAATAACAACAACAATACAGTAGAATAGTAGTAGCACTGACGGTTTTTATAAATTGTCTTTCTCAGTAAACATGACTTTTGCTTATCAAAATATGTTTGTTACTGTCTAAACATAAACAATCATTTATCTCCTCATTGAAACCTGCTATTGGAATGCTTTTGGTGTTTAAAAAAACAAAACAAAAACAGCTATAATTCATTACCAAAATGTTTCATACCATATTTATCCTCAACATTGTTTCTGAAACAAAATATGCTAAGCTTCAAAAATTACTACCCTTTGAAAATTGATATTTGTAGTTTCTTCATCTATTCATTAGATTTAACTTGTGAAAGTATGTATTTTTGGTTACCTCGGCACATACATCAATATGTAATAGATCTATATATGATATACTATTGTTCAAGATAAATATGATGTTTACAGGTAGAATTAGTTACCTGCAAAACAGCTATTAGTAATGCTAACAAAACTACGGCTCGTTTCCACAAAGCTGGCATGTTGACCAGTTCAAGTTGCACCCAGTACTAGTACATCCTGATGAGACTTCTGCTACAACCACTTTCCACAATTCTACATGTAGTTCTCGGATTTCATGCCACCTGAAAATTCAACACTATATCTGGATTAAATTTTAAACAAACTTCTTTAAAAGAACATCTCAAAGTTTTTAGTTTGACAGTCAAGAACGGGTAACTGTCGAAATAATCAAATTAGAAAAGATTATTCAAACTTATTTTAAATTCAACCTCAAATACAATCACAAAAAAAAAAAAAACACTGATTAACTGGTTAAATATAATTAACAAACAAAACTAATATTTCTCAAAGAAGAATCCTATTAGTATCACAAGAAACAACTCTAGCATTATTGTACAAATATTTATATTTTTTTGCATATGTATGTATGTATGTCCAATATATGAAATATATACAGGTGATCTTCTCAAGCCTAACAATATATAACAAATATTAAAAAGACCACCACTTTGAAATACTGCATTTTTTAATATCTCTAGTCGGTTGGAAGCACTTTCTCAGCTTACACTGCTCTTCGGCCAATGGCTATAGTTGTACAAGAATTGGTCAGACTTTTAATCCTGGGGTATATGTAGTAACAAACTGCTAAAATTTCTGTACTTCTCATCTGCTCTTTTATAAAATATGTTTGTGTTAATTAATAAACCACAACTAACAATTTTTTTTTTGTTACCAGAATCAAGAGTTAACATTGATGATTTGATAAGTTTTACTCACATACAAACTGTTAGAGAGGATCAACCGATTATTTCCACAATATGCAAATCTTTGCTATGATAATTCTTTTTCCAGTAGTTTCCAAAAGACATGTTCAATGGTCCAATTTTTTCAGACGTAGCTCTAATAGTTTTCAAAGTATGTTTTTGACAATTATAATATTATCTCAGCTATGAATGCCAAGCTATATTAAGCCAAATTTGTTTGTTGTTATAACGATTTTAATACTGAAAAACAAGTGAATACATAAAAAAAAAATTCCAATGTTATATCATAGTAAAAACAGAAAACAATATAATTTCCATATGTTCAAAATTTGATAACGTTGCTCCGAGGGATGATTTATGCAGTAACATAACAGAAGTATGTATTTTATTTAAATTCTATATCCACATATATAATTTATGCCCTTTTTTACATAATTAATATAGATTAAACAGTATTGCTTCTTCATGACAAAAAATAACTGTGTAAGTAAAGTTAATTTTGAAAACTTTGATATCTGATGAAGTAGACTATTCATAAAAAAATTAATATGCTCTACAAATGTGGTCACTAAAAGATTCATTGTGAAAATATATCCTTACAAACGATAATCGCTAACAGTAACAGTCCATGTGCTAACACAAGAAACTGTCAGTTTAACAGAACTTAAGTCCTAATAAACCAATTCTTATCTACGTAAACTTCTATTAAAATAAATTAATAATGACTAATGTCGTCGTTGTCATTCATTACATTTTGACATGGAATAACCAAGACAGTAAAGTTCCTGAAAGCTTTCATAATGACACTAATGTCAGTAATGACTAAAAGTATAAATGGTGCACTACTAATTACAATTTACAGTGTATAAACCCTAATACAGCATCTGTATGCTACATTACTAGCCTAGCCTAAGTAAAGTAAAATACTTTAGTTCTGAATGGTGCAGTAACCTACTCAATTAATTAGTGTCGCTATAGACTAGCACTAGCAATAATAAAAAAATGGAAGTTAAGACTACCCGTAATTTATAAATTGTACTTCATTAACGCCATATCCAAATTTTAAAACATAAGTCATAACTTACAAGTTAGAAACACCGTCCTTACACGTAATAAAGTATACAACTTACAATAATATTAATAATAAGAATGCTAGAGTAAAGTAGCGAAATGCCGAAAGGAAGGGCTATTGACTCTTTACTATTAGTATCACTCAGTAAGAGTATTACTAAACACTATGTAATAGAACTAAACTAAAAGTTCTGCAAATGCTGCAAATTCCGGAATTGTAGCTATACCTCCTTCAAGTTCAAGGCTTAAGTAAACAGGCTGTTAATAAATATATATATATATCTCAAAATACTTACAGCCTATTTCAAAACGTTACTGTCTGACAATGATGTTTTGTTACCATTGGCTATTTATGCACAACTGCATCACTCTTCTTTCAACTGCACTCCGGTAACTTCAATATTACACCTGGATTAATGTAGTCCCGTGAAGTATATTAAGAAGCGCGCGTCAGCAGAGCCACCACGTGGCCAATTTTTTAAACATCATACAGTGTCATCTAGCGATAGTTTCGTTTAATAATACCAGACAAGAAATTATAGGTTTTATAAATGCTGTGTCATGAATAACAAACAATTATTTTTGACTTTGTAAATGGATCTTCAGATACTATGAAAAAACTTTCTATTTTGAAACTTTCATTTTGGAAATAATATCTCTCTTTTGCATTAATGTGTTTGTAGTGATAATATATGTACTTACTACAACATTGGTCGTCAATAACTATTGATGAATGTATTATTGTCGTAAATAAATAAATGGTATATCGATCGCCCGATTGATTTTATGTATTTTTAAGCATTTGAGAACATTTTTAAATATCTAAACAAAAAACATGAATCGTGAAAAATATAGTAAGTATGTGCATTTTGTTTGACCAAATCCGATACTGTGAGGTTATATAGAGAAATAAGTTTCAATTCTCGTTTTTCTCTTTAAAATCGGACTTACAACGCTAGAATCCGGGTTTCGATACCCGTGGTGGGCAGAGCACAGATAGCCCTTTGTGTAGCTTTGTGCTTAATTACAAACAAACAAACAAACTCTTTAAAATACACGTTTACCTCACAAATTTTGAGTGTTAGTAATGTTTCTCAGTGAAAGAAATTTGCTCAGCAGTGTAAGCACTTCTACAGGGAGATTTTATTTTATCGAATGTCATACAAATATTTTGAAAGAGATCATCTTTAATTCATCTGTGTTTTTCGTGTTGCTGACAAGATTGGAAAAAATGACTCAAAATACATTTATCTTACGCAGGTTTATAACTAATAACCGCAAACTATCGTTACATTTTGATTTAAAAATATACAGATTTGTATGCTTCTTCTTTTCTTACACATATACCTAATCTTAAATCGCTCATAAACTTTTCCGCCATACTTTTTTTTCGTATTTCTTAAAAATTAAATATGTTCAACTGGTAAAAATTACTAGAGTTAACGCATTATTAAATCAGTCGAGTTTATGGTTTACTGTGGTATAACTAAATAAATTTTCCCAACTACTTTATTTATTTCAACCACACCGTCGTCCAACATTACATCTAAGACGGGCTTTATTTATACGAACAAGAAGTCAAACTCTGATTTAGGCTTAAGAATTAGACTAAATTTCATTATAAGTACTATTGGTTACATTAAAAATAAACTGCATAAATAAAGGCGAAAATAGATTGATGAAATATTGTAAACAAGGTAATAAACTTAAAGATGCCACTCTTGGCTGGCTTCATTTTGGAATAACACATCATATCCCAAAAAGAGAATGTTCTAGAATGCATAGAGATATTTTAACGAGTAACGGGTATCGGAAAAATATAGTTTTTTTTTAAATAAAAAAGATAGAAACATATTTCTATTAATGTCATGTTCAAATTAATTCTCGATAAGGATATTTATCCGTTAGAGACATGTAACTTGTTTCAAGAAACTTAGTTTGTTTTAGCGAAATGCTACGCAATAAGCTAACTGTTCTATTCACAGCAATATTTCACTTAATATTACTAATCTCGTCAGAGTATATCCAATATGGCCGCAAGGGATAGACAAGCGAGAACAAATGATTCCAACTACAGCGCCACAACAATTATAATTCAACTTTCCCACACAGACGTCGGAATCGCGGTGGGGGGGTGGAGGTCCTCTAATAATCAAATTGTGAGGCCAAATAATATTTTTTATTTAGTCTATTTTTCTATGCAGTCGGTTGACCTTGCCAACAGAAGTTAATGGAAAATATAGTTCTTTAGCTAATGTGGTTACTGGTTGTTATCTGAAACATGTCGCAAACAACTTAATTTGTATTTTGTATGTACAATACAGAACTTTTTATTATGTAAAATTGCTAAATTTAAAGCGTTTTGTTATAAGTTTGATATATCCGCGTCAGTGTAAATTACTTGTACCTGATGATGTCGAAACGTTGTACATTTGCTGTTATGTTAAACTTATATTAAAGTTTTTCTTCATTACCCATTCAAGCCGTCTCCAGCCATTATTAGTCTCAAAGTGGGTTCCTCGTCATCGAATTTGAACTAACGATTATGTTCGTATGTGAAAAATGTATTTGAAAGACGAATAACTTTAACCTAATTACAGTCAAAACACTGTCTTTGAATTCATCACACAATATCGTAAACCAAGACGACTGTATCACATTATTCATAATAACAGCCAAACAACACTTCACACCATTACTACCTTACATAATATAACTATTATTAAACCTAATAATACAACACTTCACACCATTACTACCTTACATAATATAACTATTAGTAAACCTAATAATACAACACTTCACACCATTACTACCTTACATAATATAACTATTAGTAAACCTAATAATACAACACTTCACACCATTACTACCTTACATAATACAACTATTAGTAAACCCAATAATACAACACTTCACACCATTACTACCTTACATAATACAACTATTAGTAAACCCAATAATACAACACTTCACACCATTACTACCTTACATAATACAACTATTAGTAAACCTAATGATACAACACTTCACACCATTACTACTTTACATAATATAACTATTAGTAAACCCAATAATACAACACTTCACACCATTAATACCTTACCTAATACAACTAATAATAAACCCAATAATACAACACTTCACACCATTACTGCCTTACCTAATACAACTATTAATAAACCCAATAATACAACACTTCACACAATTACTAGCTTATACAATACAACTATTAGTAAACCTAATAACACAATCCCCGCAGAACAAAAGTACACAGAGCTAAAAAGCAAACTAGTCATCCACACCCAGACTATCTAATACTAGAAATCCGACAAAATTATTGGATATGGCCCTGTAAAGGAAGAAGTACCAGAAACTACAAATGAAATACAATAACAGCACGAACATAACCATATTCAATCCAAAAATTAACAATGGTTCAGGGGGGAAGGGGTTTAATGAAATACAATACCAGCACGAAAATTATCATATTCAATCCCAAAATTAACAATAGTTCAGGGGGAAAGGGGTTTAATGAAATACAATAACAGCACGAAAATTATCATATTCAATCCCAAAATTAACAATAGTTCAGGGGGAAAGGGGTTTAATGAAATACAATAACAGCACGAAAATTATCATATTCAATCTCAAAATTAACAATAGTTCAGGGGGGGGGGAAGTGGTCTAAGAAGTACCTGACACTCCCAGGTCTACACAGAAACTTAAAGCCCGATTCCGCAATGATGTACCTCTCCTCAAAACTTAAACATATTAATGCTTAAATGAAGGATCTTCAAGAATTACCAGAACAGCTGTAGGGGAAGAAAAAAAAACATTTTAATTTACATGTCTAAGTTTGGCATTTTATGAAATATAAAAACTAAAGTTGTAGAAGACACACAATTTGTTGTTTCGTATAAAAAAAAAGCGCTGTTTTTATGAACACATAAAACCGAAATGAAATTTAAAACATCGTCTTTAACTACAATTTATTTACCTATCATATAATGAAATGTTCTATTTCCCGTTCCTAAAATAAACCAAAATTTGATATATTTGTATCTTTTAAACTGTAGTGTCACGGCTTGTATTATTGTTTAATTTAATTAAAACAGAGAATCTGACAGATTGTAAGTGAACTGATTAGTGCTTGCCTTCAGGGGTTACACAAAGAGGCCCATAAATGTTTCTCATCCCCCCTCCACTGTACACATGTGCTTAACCATTACCGTTGAACATATAACTTGTAGTCATATGACCAGCGTTGCAGTCAGTGGTTAGAGAGTACAGGCGAGCCGTGAAGAGTAAAGTTCATTTTTTTCTGGTCAAAAGCTGGGTCAATGGCGTTTTGTTCGTGCTGCGGGAGTAAAAATACGTTTAAGAAGCAACACAGTTTGGGTAAGGTTTCTACATTACTAGATTTTAACTCAAATAACTTTAATTTTTTATGAAGTATAATTCTTTTTGTTTTAAAGCTGCGTTTCTCCAGTGTTTCTGGTAGTTGTATTTCGGTGCTACAATTTTTAAAGAAACGTTTTACTTCGATCTTTTTTCTTTTTTTTATATCTGAGTAGTATAAAAACATACTAAAATTTGTAGATTTAATTTAAATAAGACTTTTTTTTTTTTAAACAAACCTAAAATAACACTTCATAGATGCTGTCACTTGTAACGAAATGAAATATTGTGTTGTGTTTGAATAAGGCTTAATAAAATGTATTAAATAATGTTTGTCATATTTATTGTTTAATAACTTGCATTTAGGTTGATTATCACCTTAAAACCAAGTCCCCCCCCCAATATGTCTAACAAAATTGAGTAGGGTAAACGTGTCACTTCATTTCCGAGGGGGGGGATGGGGATTAGTAATGTTGAGATTCTCAGTTTGTGACCCTAAGAAAGATCAAATAAAATTGCGAGGAGTATTTTCTGATCTGAGAGAAATATTTGCTTACCTCCCTGCAGTTAACAGGGGACGTGAATGGGGGGGGGGGGATCAATGATAAAATAAACTTTCATCACTCCTGCAACACTTGACAGATCACAATCTCAATATTCTTTTAACGAAAATATTGCAAACTGATTGTTGCTCTGGCATCTAACTAAGCCAATTATGTAGTTGTGTTTTAGTATTTTCAAAGCATTGTTTTGTGTGGTATTTCTGATGTGAAAGAATTGTTATATTGAAACCAGCGAGTTAGGTTAAAAAAAAATGGAACCTTGCGTGATGATGATAATTTATATGCACAGCATAAAGACCTGCGTGAACTTGTCGTCTGATACTGATAGCATTGCTGACAGCTATATGTTTAATGTTGTTTTTGAGTTAGAGGGAGCTTCGGGTCGTAATAATGACGTTTAGATAGAAAGGTTAAATAATATAGGC